TTGTAAAGACTATTTAATTTTTTTAAAAAAATTTTTCTTTTTTTATAAAATAAATTATTATTATTTTTTAAATTTTTCTTACTATTTTTAGGGCATCTAAAAAGAAGTACCTCGGTTTCTTGATTTTTTCTTATTCTTCCCCCAAATTTTTTTAAAATTTTTTTGCTCATTACACGAGAACGCTAATTCAGCCGTCTCATGTTTCAACACTTAAGGACATAACAAGAACCCAAAATTCCCGAAAAAAACGGGAAGTTCTGTGCCCTATGATCAAAGTTTGACCCTTTTTTTAGATCCTAAGGGTTTTGTAAAATTCCAAAAACCCCCATGGTGGATCTTTTTAAATTTTCGTAAAAGGGACAAATAAAAAAATGACGGAGAGTGAAATTCAGATTGACAAGCGCAGATAAGACGATTTTGTGTAAAACTGTGTGATTTTTTTTCCCGTTAAAACACGTCAAACAAATCTCAGCTTACCTCTTCTCAGTAGCTTGAACATACTTATTAAGTTTTGTTTGCATGCAGGCAAATTTTTTGATGAAATAAAATCGTACAAACAACTTGGAGTCGTTAGAATCTTTACCACAACTGCAAAATGACTTATTTGAGAATCTTAAATTTTTTAAAAATGGTGTTTCTTAACCAATGTTTTAAAAGAGCGGAGGGTTCAGGTAGCGTAGGTGTCACCGTCCCCCGGTTACCCTTGCTGGGTTTGTGGGTTTTGGGCCCAAACCCCCCCTACCTCTCCCCTTCCCCCCCAATGGGGTAGGAGGATTTCTGAAATGCCAAATATGAAAATTTAAAAATGTAAAAACCAGTCTTAAGTTTTTTCTAATCGTTTATAAAGGTCAAGTGGTTTGAGAAAATAAGCTTTGTTAGATATGTACACAGGATTGTTATTTCCTGTGGACATTTTCAAATGAAAGAAAGGAAAAAAATGTGCTCTTTGTCATTTAAGTCCCCGCTCGAGGTATCGAATGTTTTCCCCCTTACTAAGAAGTATCTCATTTCCCAAATTTTCTACTGTTTTCTCATTGTCGGTTAATATGCCATACTGGGGGGGCTTCTATGCCTATCTGAGCTTTTTAAAAAGCTACCCCGGTGGTGTGTAAAGATCGAGTGTTCGAGGGCCCAACCCCGTGCAAATTTTTATTTGCTTAAAAACCCCCCCTTGTCGTGGTTGGGATTAAATTATAATGTCGTCCAAAGAGGCAAAACTTGTATATTGGCTTAAATAGAAAGCTCTTTTTGCTGAATAAGGCAAGCGAAATTTGTGTATGCAATAATTTTTTCAAAAAATCATTTTGAACCTTTCGAAATCAACATATTTTATTTTATTTATTCTGAATTATTGTAAATTATATAAAATATATTTAGTTTTATTGGCAATTAAAAATGCGCTTTTTATAGTAAATTAGAAAGTTTTTTTAAGGGTTTTTCTGATATAAAATTATTAATTTTTTACATTAAAATAATGAAAAAAAAATCTTTTAAAAAAAAAGAGAAATTTTTAGAAAGGATTAACTTTAAATGAGTTCTTGCTAAATTTATTCTACCCATTCGACGAAAAAATCACCACAAAATCACCTCTGACTTGCTGAAATCCCCATGAGCTGAAGCATCAGTCAAAGAGCAGGTGATGCTGAACATGTAACAAGAAAACAGCGTGGGGCGCTGTGAAGTGGAGTGCAGGGGACGTCATTTAAAATTTCTCGTGAAATTTGGTAAATTTGGCTGGGCCTGCTGTACCTGCGTTGAATGTGAGCTTCAACACGACTCAGGACAAGTGTAGAGAGTGGACGCTGCTTGTAGGGTTTTTGTGGATGTGGTGGTGGGTCTAGTGTTCTGGGGGCTGTCGTGGGTTTTGGGGTGTGGGGCAAGTGTGTCTGGGGTCTGTCGTGGGGTTTGATGTATGGGTCAAATTGTCTGTCGTGGTTGTGGTTGTGGGTTTAGTGTGCGGGGTCTGTCGTGGTTGTGGGGTTTGGGGCTAGAGGTCGGGGGCTGTCGTGGTTGTGGGTGTGGACTAGAGGGGCTGGGGTCTGTCGTGGTTTTGGGGGTGTGGGGCCAGTGTGTCTGGGGGCTGTCGTGGTTCTGGGGGTGTGGGTCTAGAGTGTCTGTGGTTACCTGGTTATGGAGTGTCGGGTTTTGACCAAGGGTTCCCAAACTTTTCTCTCTGGGCCGAACTTTCGTAATAAAAATTTTATCGCGCCTCACCAAATTTTTTAATAAGAAAAAACTCTCAAAACAAAAAAAACAAACTCCACTTGTCTTATTTATAATATAGAACACAATTCTTTTAACTTGATCATGGGACTTCAGAAAAATAGAAAACAACGCCCCAACTGAGAATACATTTTCATTACCAAAAAAAATTTATTTTGGAGCCTCTTACATATGTTACCTTAAATTGTATAAGTTTCGTGAGTGGTAAAAAAGCTTATTTTTTTCAGGTATTTCTTTATATAGTCTCATTCCTCATAAAAAAGCCCCTTTCATTTAGGTTTTTTGATATTTTTCGTCGTTTTAAATCCCCGCGAACTTGTCGTCGAGAACCTTAGATCCAAAAAAAAATAAATTTATCGGGATGCTAAACCAGTTGCAAGTAAAAATCACATCACGAAAAACTATATCCAAGCTTGCAAAAGAACCCAAAACAAAAGAAGCTTCAGTGCAGGGTAACCCCGTCCTTCTTTTCATTCCGAATTCACGTAATGTAATGAGGCAACGATTATGTTGCGGTGCTTTAAAAAAAATGTGATTTCTTTATTGTTCTTTTGGGGCATCCTCAACACTGGATACTTCTCGGGTTTCAGTACATGAATGTTTTAAACGTTTATTTAATTGTCCCCCAACCCCCCCCCCACACCTGCCATCTTTCGCGCAGCACCAGTGTGGGGGCACTCCAGGGGTTTATGGGAACCACTGATCTAGAGACTGGTGTGTCTGAGGGTAAATAAGATAAGATTTCGTTCGGATTTTTAACCCCGAGGGTTTGCCACCCGGATAACCCAAGAAAGTCAGTTGTCATCGAGGCTGTGTAACTTATTTCCATTTGGGGGCCCCAATTTGTCCCCGGATGGACCCCCACCCGTCGAAAACACCCAGGTACCTATTTGCTGCAGGGGCAGGACAACAGGGTAAGGAAACTGCGAAAAGTTCCCCCCCCGGGGAATCGAACCCGGGCCCCCCGTGTGTGAAGCGGGGGCTTTAGCCACCGGACACCGGCCCCGGGTTTTGGTGTTTGGTCAGAGTTGTTGGGGGTTTCCATGGTTGTGGGGTGTCGGCTGAGTGTCTGGGGGGTTTTCCCTGGTTGTGGTGTGTTGGTCGAGTGTCGGGGATTGCCCTGGTTGTGGGGTGTGGTCAAGAGTGTTTTGGGGTCTGCCTGGTTGTGTGTGTTGGTCTGAGTATCTGGGGGTTGCCATGGTTGTGGTATGTGGATCTAGTTGTCTCGGGGCTGCCGTGGTTGTGGTGTGTAGACATTGTCAGGGGGGCTGCCGGTTAGGGGTGTCGGTCTTGGGGTCTGGGGGGTCTGCCCTGGTTGTGGTACATCGGGCTATTTTTGTCAGGGGGGGGGCTACCCTGGCTGGTTACGGTCTAGTTGTCGGGGTCTCCAGATTGTGGTGTCTCGCCCAGTGCCCGGTTGGCTGATTGTAGTGTTCGATTACAGTAGGTTTCTGCCCTTGTTGAGGTATGTCACTCTAGTGTTGGGGCTGCCCCTATTTTGGTGTGTCGGTTTTCAGAGTCTGGGGTCTGTCGTGAAAAGTTTGTTTTGGGCTTGACTCTATAGTGTCTAGGTCTGCTGTGTTTTTTGGGGGTAGGGAAAAGACAAAATGTCGGGGGGCTTGGGGCCCTTTTCTTGGGGATGGTGGAGTCCACACTTTTCCCCCGCCATCAAAAAATTTTTTCCCTTTTTTAAAATATATAATAATAAAATATATTTATATATATATTTAAAAATATTAATAATATATATATATTTAAAAATATTTTTATATATATTTTATATTTATTTTTTCCGTAAATAATTTCGCCCGTGGAGAAATTTTTTTCCCGGGGGGGGTATTGCCCCCTTTTAGCCCTGGGGGCCCAGCCCCTCAGAAGGGACAAACTTTGTTTTCTTTTTCGCAAGTAATTGATCCCAGAGCAATTGATGTGACGTGGTTTTAAGCGACGCAGCTCCTTGCAAGAGTCCCAGTGTTGCAAAGTGTGTTCAGTAAGAGACAATCAATCTCTTTCCCTTGCAGGGCAATTAAAGAAAAACCTGCTCCCCTTTTTTAACCCTGGTAAAGTATGTACACTGTTGTCTTGTTAAGACAGCAAAATCAAGCATTCTGTTTGGGTTCATGGAGGAAGTTTGGCAAGGAAGCAAAAAGTATAGGGGCACATTTTCCTTTTTGTTTGGGGCTTGCGTGGGCCCCGAGGTCGATTATTTTTGATTATGAGAGAGCTTGTTTTGCCGGGATAAC